CATAGAGGCAGCTTCTACTTATTTATAGGACGTTGAACTTTTCTTTGTGGGATAATAAGTGGACCCCAATTCCTGGAGCTTTTGCTAACCCAATCGGGCGCGGTTGGGACGTGATCAGTTCATGCTCAATGGGCCATGAAAGACGGCCATGCAGTCCCCCATTTTCAAATTCCCAACTGCGCCCACGCCCAAAAGCCTACGCCCGCTTCATCCTACCAAGTTCAAACTCAGTACCCGCTACATTCGGGAAGGCAAATTAACAGGACTTATTGAATCCAGTAGCCCATACTAGTCAGAAACTGGCATTCAACAAATTATAACAACGCCAATAATAAATTCTCAAAAAAAGGAAAAATGGGAAAAATGATTGTAAACCTTACTAACCTCCCGTTCTGAAGAACCAAATGGCACGGAAAGATTGGCCATAGCCCGAAGTATGGCAACAAGTGATTGTACCGTATTACTGTAGACAACGGGTTTATACTGTTTATAGTCTTCGGCTGTGAAACCAGATTCATGAATGATTCTGAAATTTAGAACGGATTCAGCTCAGTATGAGATACGACACTGGAATTGTTGATATGAGATCTATCAAAAGACGGCGTCATCTTCCGCCCTCAGGGTGAACATTTTCGATGAGCGCGTAACGAAGGCTGTTCTACATCAGGATATTTTAGGAAATCATGATGCAATGTATTAATATTACATTATAGCATGTAATAAAATATGGAAAACGGCGGGGGTGGTGTAGAGGGAAGTGGCGCATACTATCACACGCTAGCCCTGGGGTTCCAAACCCATTCCATCGCTGCTAGGTCTGTTAATTGGCGCTACATTCGCCTTTGATCGGCTATCCACTGCAGCTCATTGTATAGGCCCCATTCGCTCCGAAAAAGCTCTAACGATTCCGAAATGGAGTAAAATACGTGGGAGCATCCCGTCAACGGGATTGATAGCATTAAAAAACTTTATCCTTCAAGGAACTATCAATATGGCTTAATGTATCGATGTTATAGTGCGGAAGGTATGTAAACGATTTGGGCCTACATTAGCCCCCACTTTAGAACTAGAATCGAAATTCACGAGAAATGAAATTCCTCGAGTGCTGATAAAAATCTTGGGGAACGCATCGGTTTTCTCAGTTACGAAATTAATGAGATACTTTGATCATCTGAATAAAACCAAAATTACCTAAACTGGATACAAGAACCAATTGAAGCCTTCTTTATGTTTTTTTACTTTATGTTCTTATCCAGCTGCTATTATCTAGGAACTCGGAAGAGGGAGAAAGAACAAATTCATTGACATACTGTGACGGCCCAATGAAAGCTATATAGCTACCAATATATACCTCGTTCGAAGCAATGACGTAAAATACGTTATCGGTTGATCACGATGGGGATCAGAAACCATTATGAACGATGCGTTTCATAATGGTTAGGGGTAGAATTGTAAGAGTGAGAAGGGGTAGAATGTAGGGGTAGAATTTATAGGCTCATTATCAATAGATTAAGGGCAATACCCATACTCGAAACAAGATTCGATTCGTGGAAATTTGGAGTCTAGATGAGCGATTCTAAAAGCTCTGACCAATTGAGCCACCGCATCTGGTCTTACGGAGTGCAGAGGACCAAGTTTTTTTGGTATGGCGCAGGTAATGAGCTCCGTGTGCCTTCAAGAGCCCGGATGTTTCGTGCGTGGCAGAGCACAATTGGACGCGACAGATATACGGGTAGTTTCTCCTCTAATGATTGATTCCTATCGATGCTTATGCAAAACTCGTATCCTGACCTAACGACACACATACGATTGGACTTCTTTTCGGACTATCATGTTACTAAAAACTTTCTTTTCTCTGGCAGCATCATCTTCGCTTTCAACTTTGTGAAACGAGCATATGGGACATCAAAAAGCCATTGAACGAGATTCCACATATTTTTCACTTTGAATTTGGCATCTGCACGCAGGCAAGGGGTGAGAATCTGGTGATTTCCGATATTTTTATCCACTGGGAAGGAGATCGCTGAGGTCAAGACTCATTGTCGTTTTAATGTGACTGGGATCTGCCTCGCTCTTCAGAATGGACCACGGAATGTAATCCCTGGCAGCGATTGCACACTGCCGCACGCGAAAAATCCGCACTCTCACTCAATAACATTCCCAACATTCTTCAGCATAAAGGCTAAAACGCTTTTTTCAGTCATGGGTTTTTCCTTTCCATTTAGTACAAGACGTAAGTACACAGAAATGCACTTCTCTTCGAAGTTTGTCGCTTTCTTTTCAGCTGGAAAAAATGGACGAGTGAGTGCCGGTGACAGCAGAAAGTGCCAGACAGCATATCGAAGATAAGCCATTACTTTTCAGATGACATTGCTTTGCAAAAAGTCCAAGAACTAGGAAAAACTATTATCAAACCCTCTGAGCATAGCCAAAATAACGTTAGATGCTCATTTACCACAAATACGGTAGACCTCAAAGGTCACAAATGGTACAGGCATAGTTAACATCAGCAAAAATAGGGATTTAAAAATAAAAAAACAACTTAGAAAGTACGATACACAATGAGTTCAGAGTTCTGTTTAGATTTAGCTGGATGCTCAGTTTACGAAAAGTTCGGTGAACATCTGGCAGCGCTCCGGAATCACCAGAAGCCACTGGGAAGCCGGCTCATATCCAAGCACCGTACCTTCCCCCACAAACGAGACGTTTACCACAAGTTAGGGTCCAGTTGTAGCCAAGGACTTTTGCGACTCAGTAAGTAAGAAGATGAGGGAGATGTAGAAAGACCGACAGAGGGCCCTGTTCATTAATAACAGGGGAAGCCCAAGTTATGGACATTTCAGTCATGCGTATCAAATCGTCAGCTATCTTCCTACAGTATCCGCCACACCCCTGCACTCTCCCTTTGGTCATTCTGTGGTTGTATGAGTGGGAGCGTGAGATGGTCCAAAATTCATTTTTTAATACAACGATTCAGAAGGCTCCTAAGAAGCCTATCACTCCCTTCTATCCCGTCTTTCCCAGAAGTGGCCCATCAAAATTTTACATTTGTTAATGATTTGTAGGCAATTTGTGAAGGTCAAGACTGTTTTGGTAACCTAACGAAAGTCACAAAATGTCCCGAGAAGTCGCCAACAGTCAGAGGTTTTAACGGCACCGTTCTAATAAAGCTTAATGAAATCCAATCAGACACAGAAACTCGAAAACTTTCTGTATTATATTACGCATTCTGTGCTTTCTAGATTATTTTTTAACGATGAAAGTATTCATAGAGACGCCATTATGTGCATCCATNTCCATAACAAAGCGCCCATAGGGGAAAAGTGGAATGTTTTAGAAGCCATTCATGCGGATACAGCAGCTGTCTCATTAGGAGACGGTAGATCCCGGATCTAAGGGAACGTTTCAGAAACCTGACGAATCTGTTCGAAACTCTTTATTTAAAATTTGGAACCAAAGTGAAATCCAAGTGATCTATATAGATCAAAGTTCAGTATTTCAAAACTTTTTCAGGCATCTGAAATTTCTTTCCAGAAAAAAATTTAATTTTTTAAAAGATCCCGCATATTTTAATGAGGAAATCATCATCTTCGAAGAACTACCGCAAGGGGAAAAGATTCCCAAAATATACGAAATATTTTTGATATTCAAGAACAATTCTTTGAATATTTTTCTTTTCTGGCCATTAGCAGAACAATAATAAATAAAGTAATAATAAATAGAGCTAACCGAATTTGATGGTTCAGTTATAATACAAGCAAATATAAAAGTTTCCGATTGAGAAGTTTTCATTCTCAATTCTCCAGCTAGGGCACTCTACTTAGAGTTTTGATTTCTTAGATCTTTCACATGGGCTATTTGGAATTTTTCCATTTTTTTCGTTTCGCTATGTTTTTGACAATATCGGAAGATCAAAACAGCTGTGAGAATCAGCCGTGAATATTTAGTTACAAGTAAATACGGATGGAGGGATCAACAACCATGTCTGTCAGACTTGGGAGCTTTGCTTGTGATAGCCGTCCAGAGGAAAGTCTATGCATCGGTTTTACTCGAAAAGAAAAATGGATGTAGGCCGCATTTGGAAACGTAAAGAAATCGCTGAGATTTAAGCGAGGACCAGACCTTCAAGATGGGTTTTGATCCGTGGGCCATAACGGCGCGATATTGGCGCCATCTTCCACTACCCCACCTACTGATTTATGATCAAAGTGCACTGGCGTGGAAAAGAGGAAACTCTGCAGACCTCATGTACTTAGATTTCCAAACGATTTCCAACTTTCTCTTATTCCCTTACCATTCCCAAAATGGTAGAGAACTTAATGGGATTCATGGAAAAAGCATTTTATTATACGTACGACCGTCATTTCCTTGACGTTATTATGCGTTCGCTACAGCTGGAATATGAAAATCACACAAAGCCCATTTTATTTCTTTTCACAAAGTTTGACGTCAAAACTCTGGGGACATGGGACCATGAGATAGAATTGAATGGGAACTCGTTTGTCTGTTTTTCTATTTGTTCCTGGAAATGTACCCGAGAAAGCCTCTTTTAACTCCTCTTCCTTCGCCAGACTAAACGCTGAGGAGATCAATACATAAAGTCTTTCAGGATTCAGGATTCAGGACGAGTTTTACATTCATTTTCTATGACTTACGCAAATGGTAAACGCCGACTTTCAATAGAATCAAAAACCACCAGTTCAACTTACTTCATTTGCTTCACGATGGTCGATTTCCCTGATTCACCAGCACCCAACAGCAGCAATTTGATGTCCTAAAAATAGCGGTCCCTCCATTTTATGTGAATTTTTCCTATGAAACCTATCAAACACCTCGGATATAAGTTGTAATATGGGGAAAAACCGATATTGCTCGATCACTGGCTGGGAAACCTTCCACATCCCACAAGTTCACTTTGTTCATGTCATAGCAATGAACAATCATAACGAACTCAGAAACATGATTACCGTACCGCTTCCCTTGTCACGATTTCTATCTCCATGAAGGATGAAGACAATAAAGGGCAGGTTATTACTCTCCCATATGCACGGCCAACGAGAATATCCCCGTTCAGGCAAAATTGGGCTTGTATCGCGGCGGTGTCGGCTTTCCGGCATCATCTTCGTCTAGACGAACGAGAAGTCTATTACCCACACAATCGGCAAAAAAGCGGAATCTGAGGCACACCCCAAAGCCAATAAATCAACCCTAGGCCCTCATCTTGTACTTATTCGTCCTGTAATTAGGGTACGGGAATCCTTCTAGAAGGCAACGGGGAATTGTGGGCTGGATTGACCTCATTCTCAGAACAGAACACTTTTTATCCAGCGGGTTCTGGTAGAAGACCCAAGCGTCTTGAAGACTGGGTCCCCAATATGGGATAGGATTGTGTAGGCCTTTTGTTTTGTTTTCGTGCAGCTCATTCATAAAAAATTGGTATGGCTGTTTTCAGAAAGTGCTCGCAGAAAGGCGGTGATTGATGAAGCTTAGCAGGGTAATCCCCATCAGGATAGCACCGGGGAGAGAGAAGAACGATTCTCAGGAGGTGAATGACGTCGAACGCCAACGCTCAGCTAGGATTTTCGGAATAAGCCATAGTAAGACTATAAGCCCGGAGCAGATAATGTTGGGATGAATTTGGGGGCTCATTACGGGTAAATGTCATAAGCTCGAATGTCGTCGAAATCCAAGAATTTCAACCAAGTTACCCAGGAGTTGCCCATATCCCCCGGCCCCGCTTGGGCGTGAATTTCAGGATCGGCCCCTCCAATAAATCGATATTTACAAAGTAGAAAAAAGTAAAAAAGCAAACAGAGAACGACAACAAAACAAACCTTGGCAGCTTGCATACCATCCTCTTTGAGGTTCTTCTCGATCATTCGGGAACGTTCGAGAGCCGCCCGCTCTTCCTGTGACATGGTGCAACCCATGGTGTACGGCGGCGGGTGGTGTGGCGGTGGTTCCGGACGACGACGTGCCTTCTTGTAGTTCTCGTAGCGTGCTCTCTGTTGGACGACACGGACCTCTCTGTCACACTCTTTAGGTCAGATGACGAACCACAACACCCTACACCAAACAGAGAGAGAGCCGCTCTAGCCGAACCTGTACAACTCTGGAAATAAGAATGGATTTCTTAGGAAGGGGTAAAAGGCATGGCCAAACAAACGGTCACGAATAACTAGTAGGACCCGAAAAAATCAACTGACTACTGCCATATGGGTAAAATGGAAGATACAGTAAAAACAGAGTCATTTGAAAAGGAGACAAGCTCTTGTCGGGTGAGCATTAGAGGAGAAAAATCCTATGTAAGTCAAAGATCGTCTAAAGAGCGCCTCAGTAGGCAGCCGGAACCGGTTTGCTTTCGTCGCCATTCAACTTGTCGCCTTCGTTTGTCTCGCTTAGTAAACATATGAAAATACGAAGCGATAACGAGTAATAGGAAAAGAAAATGACATAAATCATCCGAGACTCGTCCCATACCAGTAAGGAGGCCGGAACTGACTAGTACACGTAATTCTAGAGAAAAGATAAGATCATATGGAACTTATAGGCAAATCAACACGTGATAATAGCAAGCGGACGATCTAATTGGTAGGTGTGCATCAAGGAAGGGGATGAAGCTCAGTTTTAACCTTGGGACGCTCGCCAAGCATTCCGACCCCCTAATCCGAGTATCCCATCATCGACACACTGGAGACTCCAGGTCTCCTTACTCACTATTCCCCATTTGAAACGAATTTGCTATTTCGCTTTCAAGGCTACTTCGTACTTCCATCAAAGAGTAAGTCTGACCAAATTCCGATCCAAGCTAACCAATATCGGAGAAAGCCCAAAGCAGCAAGGTGGTCGCTGATCTGTTAAGCACAAGTTTGGCAGCAGCCACCAGACTCTGTGCTCAAAAAGAAGTAGAGCTATCCAGGTCACTGAGTGGTCCTACAAACTGACTGGTACAAATTAGTTTGATCAGGGCATCAAATTGAGCATGGGAAGAAGAGATGGTAACAGAGAAGGGTAGCATCACTATCAGTAGAACATAGCAAAGTGCTACTTTGAGGGATGATGTGGAGCTGCGAGATATGTACCAGTAGCCACATGGATCCCACAACGTGCTACTTTGAGCGATAAGGTGGAGTTGGAAGTTACCAATAGCTGCATGGATTCCCTGGAAATGAACGTGTCTCCTCGACCTCCTGTCTATTACTCGGAAGTGTACTCAAATTAAGGTGTACTTAGGCGCCTTTCAAGATGTCGAATCAGGTCAATGGGCGGCGGCTGTACGCCACTTACCTACTTGGGATTCGATTACCCATATGAAGTTCGTATTGAGTTGGAAGAGGAACCTGATTCGCCCGCCGAAGAAGAACCCAGGTGGGTTGTGTAGCCTACACTGTCCCAGACTGCCACCTTCACTTCAGTCACTCCCTCTTCCCCCACTCAGTGCTCTTTCACAAAGAGTAAACTTGAAGTCTTTGCAGCAGCCACTAGATTCTGCGCCTAGAAAGACAGGAGAATTCCCCAAGTCGGTGAGTGGTCTTACAGATCGACTATTACTGAAAAGCATGTGTTGAGCCCCTTCATTCTCCCCGTAATTTGGCGAGATGGAGACCCATTCTACATAAAGACCACTTCGGGGAGGCATTCATTCCTCTATACCATTCTGCCTACTGATGTGGGAAATTAACTCACTCAATTCTGAAGAACTCCATCTAGGCTCCTACTCTTACAGTGATTCAAGCCATGTAAGATTAGTACATATGTAGATGAGGATGGAAATCAAGAAAGTCAATACAAAACTATGTGAGATCAACTTCACCATTAATAAGGAACGAGGAGTGGGGTGGGTGGTTCCATTGGGAGCTCGAAACGCTCAATAAATTCTCCTAAGCAATTACTTCGGGTGCTTAAGAAGGTAATGATTAACAACCCAATTAGTAATTACTTGAATTACAACGTCATTCAGGATTACCACTTTTCTAAGATGAACTTCAGAAGCAGTATTAGGGCCTACAGAACCTTGGCGACATTTCTGACTACAGATATTACTTTTAGGTCGATCGGGTGCTTTTCTACACGAGCCAAATCCATTGTTTGGACTTTGGCGACCTTCCTCACCAAAAAAGGAGCTATAACAAAGAGTTGGCCTTATGGTTTACTACTCTACCGGAAAAAGCTCTTCAATAGAGGACAAATTCCCCGGAAAAGCCGGCCTATTAATCCTACGCGTATCTACCTCTTTCGACGAGCTCCACGAGCATGCATGCACTCTTTATCGGCGCAGCCCCCTCCTCTTTCAGAGAGCTGCTTTTTTTTNTTTTTTTTCTTAAAAGACTTCCTGCCGGTGAAGTGTATGGAGGATATGGCTCGACGATTCGCTTGAACAATGGGCAATGGGAAAAGAAAAACGAGCATAAGAATTGCCCGAATTGAAGCCTAACTTTTGCATTAGATGAATAGATGCCGTAATATCTCCTGTAGGACTGTTTTTCTACTGAAAACTTTACCGCAATTATTAAACGGATATTAGAATTATTAACGAGAATCAGCAATAACAATTATGCTTAGGAAACATGCTAATCCAATGGTCGTTACCATCATTTTTACTAAAATAAATGAATCAACAAAAACGGATTCAATCAGGGAACGGAGCGATAGATTGGCAGATTGATGAGGAATAAAGTGCCAAGCTGTGAGAGCAATTCTATCAGATTTAAGAAAATTCCAAAGCAAACAAAAAAAGTTGACGAGGTGTCAACAAAGTAAACAAAAAGTGAGAGTTGTTGCACTTCCAGATAGGAACACCATAACAAACAAGAAAAGGCGCTGAGGGTACTTCGTAGAAACCTTGAATGACACCTGATTAACCGCTGGGCGATAACGAAAATCGATAGTGATAGGGGGATCGTCGGGAAGTCTTTTGGGAAATAACAAACTACCCAGATGGTCGGTGTCTGGTGGCCAGACAAGTGTAGGGCCAACGAAGGACCGGCGAAGCATCACTGCCCGTCTACGAAGTGCTGACAGTTTGAACTGAGTCATGCTCAGCATGAGCCATCACAGCTTCATCGACATCGTTCGCCGTCGAAAGGAAACGACCAGCCGTTAGCGCCCAGTTAGCAGCCAGCTGCCAACTCACCGTCCAGCTTTTTTACAAGAAAGAAATAAAGTTTGAAGTTCATTTTCGGTTTGAAAAAGGACCAGACCACACAAATTGGCTGAGAATTCAAGAATGAGCAATCATTGATAATTGGAAATGGCTCAGGAGAAAGCTGGGTAGCAGTCTTAGGGGGAAAGGACATGTGGACTAACCGAAATGGGGAGATGTTGCCGATGCGCGAATTCTCATTACCTAATAGTATTAAGGGTTGCTAAGCCCTACGCTAACAGCATTTCACCAAATGATTAGCCGCCTAGATTTAGAGCCGCCAAGTCATCGTAGACGCCTAGAACGATCTGAATATGGGTAATGAGGGAGGCTCGGGAACGCCCGGAAGCACTTCGTCTAGACAAAAAAAAACTGAGTGAGGGAAGGTAGCGTAGAAGGGTCCAGAGTAGGTGCTCCACCGGATATGACGTGCTGCCGGACCTGCAGGGAATGACCATCCAAGAAGGATTTGCATATCTCCTCGATGTGGACCATGTGCGCGATGTGGGCAGGGACGGGGTGGGGGCAGGCGAATAATGATCGATACGTGCCTGCAAGCGCTCCCTCTCGGCCTCCTCGCTGTCTCTCACCTCAATCGAAACCAACTGCTGCTGCTACTACTGCTGGCTGGGTGGCTGGGTAGGCTGGCTGAGTAGCTTCCCCGTTGCGCAGCGCAAGCTTGACCAGGGTCAAAATCCTCGAACTCCTCAGGAATCGGAATGAATGGGTGTCCCGATTTCAGAAGGGTCTTTGTGTTGTTGCTGCTGCTCATAGGTCGTCTATCGGGCTCGCTACGCAGTGCACTCTCAGCCCTGAGGCTCCCTTACCAGTGCAGGATGAAAGGCTAGCCTGGAAAGTTCCTACAGTCTCAAAGCTCCTCCAAAGGGGGTCGGTTTGTAATGGTGTTCTCTCGTACATAACAATGACGTCAAGTGGGGTCAGTCGGGTATGTCTGACAAATGGTCCCGTCAATCAGCTTGCCATAGCCAGGATTAGCAGCTGGTTGTGCGCTAAATCGCACGTGTGTGCAAATGAAATTGCTAATGTGGGCAGACAGGAGGCATATGGGGGTGAGGGGGCATTTGTTTAAATAGATCTATAACTGAATCAACGTTAAAACAACACTCGAAAATCTTAGGGGATGAAAATTGGACGAGTTACTGAAAGGAAGAGAAAGTGGTATAAGCGGCAACAATAGGGGATCCGAAGCCCTAGGATGGGCTTGATTGGGTTGCCTTCGGCTAAGGGAGTGGGAGATTGGCTTTGGGTGGATAGAATTATTAACGGCATGAAAAGACATCACACATTCGGGCGATGAAACGCTCATAAAGCAGGCTAGCACACGACGGCAGTGGCAATGATTAGGGCAGTATGAGATGAAAAACGTGACAGAATGAAGGCAATGTGGAATTGATGGGCTGCAGAGACGAGGACGAAAAGTGTCGAGGAAAGAAAGTTTTCGACAGAGAGCAGCTTCAATCATAACATTCTGCAAGGCTATACGCCCCAAAAACTTGCTATTGATATCGAGGAACAGCCGTCAGAAACTGTCAAACTCAAATCGCCTGGCAAACTTGGGCCGAGACTGGCACAGCCCAAATCACCTGGCACAGATCGCGTGAGGAGCCAAAGCCAAGTGGATCTTGAGGTAGCACTGCTGTAGCAGCAATTCAATTCGAGTGTGTGTGGGACCTGGAATGACGACAACGACGGCGGAGGAGGACACATGGCGGGGCCCCTGTGTGCCGCAGCCGTTGCCGCCACTGCAGGCCGCCGGCCCCAATTGAT